GAGTTACCTAACCATAATATATGAGAACCACTCTGAAAATATTTTATGTGACGTGAAGCCACACTGATTCTAAATGATAACCTTGAAATCCATTTTATAAATCACATAATATCATTTTATTCTTTTTAGTTATACATGACAGTAGAATCTATTTTGATATATTTATACAAGCACAGAATATATCTTATTCTAATTAGGAACCCAGTCTTGTGGATGTACACAATACTGAGATTCACCGTGGTGTATTCATATATGTAAACAAGAAAGGTATATCAGATTTATTCCACTGTCTTTACTAATCTTATCCCCACTTTCTTCCCTTCATTCCTCTTTGTCTAAAACAACTCTAGTAAAAATCATTTCAATGTAATCTTTCAAACAAAAAAATATTTACTTTTGTTCCCACTGTTGCATTTTATACTACAATATCCCAGGTGATAAGCACTGTTGGCAACATCACATTATCAGGAAAAGTTAATTAAAAAAGATACAGTGGAGCTGGGGTTGTAGCTCAGTGGTAGAGTACTTGCCCTGCATGTGTGAGGCACTGGGTTTGATCCTCAGTACCACATTAAAGAATAAATCGTTATTATGTTCAACTATAACTAAAAATATTTTTAAAAAACAGATACAGTATTTTAGAACAAAAATTAGATAGATACGGTGAAATCCCAGAAACTCAGAGGCTGAGGTAGAAAGATCACAAATTCCAGGTAAGTCTGAGCAACCTGGCAATATCCTGTCTCAAAATAAAAACTTACAAAAGGCCTGGGAATGTAGCTCAGTAGTAGAGCACATCTGGGTTCAATCCCAAGCATTACAAAATCGTGATCCACAGTATGTAGCATTCTTAAAGAATAGGTCTTTCTCGGTCCACAAATAAAGTGGATATTAGTACTTCTGTCTCCTTTTAGATAACAAGTTTGCAAAGGAATTTTGTTCCATTGTAGCTAGCACTTGACTATTGACTTCCATGAACAGATTTCATTAACATGATCTAGATCATCATCACCACACTGGACATTCCATTCTTTTTTTTTTATTTCTTTCTTATTTTATTAGTCCTTTTTATAGTTATACATGACCACAGAATTCATTCTGATATAATTATAAAAGAATGGAATACAATCTTTTCTACTTTGGACATTCCATTCTTAACCCACTCTGAACTCTCATTTTTAGGTTAAGTATCATTAATTTTGTAGATTTCCTTAGTCACTTTTATTAATCCTGTCAAATGGCTGAGAGATTGTTTTATAAGTAAAAAAATCTTTCATCATTTCACATTAATAAGTATAAAGGTACTAACTGGCTATTTGCAAAACATCTTCCTCACAGAGTTTTCATGGTCACTTGTTAACAGGTAAGAAAGCCATTGCTAACTACTTATTAGCAAAGGTTTTCTGTGTATTTTCATAAAAGTGATTATCTACATTTCTATAAAATGCAGCTGAAGACTTTAGAACCTAAAAATAGTATTTATACTATAAGAAACTGCTGTCAAAATAAAATGATGAAACCAAACAAATTTTTGAGCTTTACTAAGTGCTATGGTTCACATATGAGGCAATACCCCAAAGCTCCTGTATTAATTCAGGTGAAATAATTAGATTCTGAGAGCTGTCACCTAATCAGTCCATCCTAGCTTGAATGGACTGGGTGGAGCTATAGGCAGGTAGGTCACTAGTATTGTACCCTGGAAGGATTCATCTTCCCTGTGGCCCCTTCCATGCCCCATCCCCTCTGCTTTCTGACACACCATGAACTAAACACTTTTCCTCTGCTGCATCCCTCTGCCATGATAAGCTGCCTCACCTTGGACCCAGATTCAGCCAACCAGGGACTAAACCTATGGAACCATGAGCCAAAATTAACTTTCCCTCCTCTAAGTAGTTCGTGTCAGGTATTTTGATCACAGCAATGTAAGCTGATTGACAAAATGAGCTTGTTTGACTCTATAAAAACCACTTTTAAGGAAAAGTTCATAGGGAAGGCTCTATTTAGTAAACATAAGCTAATGATTTCATAATTGATCTGACTTCATAAATATCTATTACTCTATCTTCTCTTTTTGCCCATATATCTAAAATAAATAATAAGTACAATCCAAAAAATATCTCTTAGCTTTCCTATTTCTGATATCATTAATTCAATGTCACATAGCTTTACTTCAGTATACAAAAGAATCAAGCTGATATGATCAAGTTCTCCATTAAGGTTTCTTGTAAATGAATTTATTTACATATTTTTACAAAATTGGTATATCATTCCATTAGTGCCTAAACTCAAATAATTCTTTGAAATAAGAACAAACCAAGCTTTTGTTGTTATTGTTGTTTACTTGTTTTTATGGTGATACGAGGAACTGAATCCAGGGACACTCAAGAACTGAGCTATATCCCTAAACTTTTTATTTTCAGACAGGATTCTCACTAAGTTGCCCAGTGTGGCCTCAAACTTGGGATCTTCCTGCCTCTGCCTCTTGAGTTGCTGGGATTATAGGCATGCACCACCACAGCCAACAAACCAACCAACCTTCAAACATGATACTGAACTATTCCAACTGATGTACAAAAAAGCCAGGAACTCATACAAACCACTGCAGGTATCCAAAATTAAAAGTACAAAAAAAAAAAAAAAAAAAGAGCACAAACTAGGTATTAGGAGATTTATAACCATTAAACTACTTTAAGAAATGGAGCAAATCATAGTTTCTTTTTTATTCAAATCAAGGAAATGGGATAAATTATGTATCTCTAATCAGGGTAAGAAAACTGCCAATAGAATCAAAGAATTATAGGTAAAGACTAATGATCCAATCTTTTCATGGGTAAAATTTAACATGCAAATTTGGAGGACAAGTATCGTTAAGGAAACAATCAAGAACATGAAGAGAAAGCCTACAAAATGGGAGAAAATCTTTTTTTTTTTTTTTCTTTTTTGCCAATACACCCCAGACAGGACACTAATATCCAGGATATACAAAAAAAAACTTAATACCAAAAACCCAAATAACCCAATCAATAAGTGGGGAAAGGAACAAAAATGACACTTCTCAAAAGAAGAAGTATGAAAGGTCAACAAATATATGAAAAAAAAAATGTCCAACATCTCTATCAATTAGTGAAATGCAAACTAAAACTACAATGAGATTTCACCTCACTCCAACCAGAATAGAAATTATCAAGAATACAAGTAACAATAAATGTTGATGAGAATGTGTTGAAACAGGTACGCTCATATATTGCTGGTGGTACTGCAAAATGGTGCAACCATTCTGGAAAGCAGTATGAAAATTCCTCAGAAAATTAGGAATGGAACCACCATTTAACCCAGTTATCCTACTCCTCAGTATACACCTAAATGATTTAAAATCAGCACACTACAGTGACACAATATGGGCATCACAATAGCTAAGCAATAAAGCCAACCTAGATGCCCATCAACAGATAAATGGATAAAGAAAATGTGGTGTATATATACAACAGCCATAATGAAGAATAACTTTATGACATTAGACATGCTAAGTGAAATAAGCCAATCCCCAAAAAACAAAAGGTCAAATATTCTCTCTGATATGCAAATGCTAACACACAATAAGGGAGGGGAAGAAGAGAAGTTCAGTGGAGTAGACAAAGTAGAATGAAGGGAAGTGAGGGAGAATAGGAAAAGGAAAGACAGTGAAATGAATCTGACATAAATTTCCTATGTACACATATGAATATACTCAATCTCACCATCTTGTACAACCATAAGAAATTAATTTTAAAAAATAGCTGAGTAAATGGCAGAAAGATCAATAGAGGAAAGGAAGCAGAGGGTGGGGAGAAGGATGGGGAAGGAGAGGTACTGGGGTTTCAATTAGAACAAGAGATAGTCCATGCTTGTATGACTATGTCAAAATGGATTCTACTGTCATGTATAACTAAAAAGAATCAATAAAAAAAGAAAAAAAAAACAAAGGGCATACACTATGAAAATAGTAAACATGACAGGGGTTGTGGCTCAGTGGTAGAGTGCTTGCCTAGCAAGCATGAGGCACTAGGATTGATCCCTGGCACCACATAAAAATAAACAAATAAAATAAAGGTATTGTGTCCATCTACAACTTAAAAAATATTTTAAAAAACAGTAAACAGTTTGATGTGTTAGCAATTAAAATGCTGAAGATATATTTGCGACTACATACTTTGGCTGTGACAGCTCTTACACATGAAGCTAGTGAACCTAGACTTCTTTTAACAAACAACAAAGAGTCATAAAAAGCTACTGAAGTAGAAAAGTGATACTATATATTAAAAACACATAGTAACTATTTCAGAAACAATCATCAGAGAAGTTATCTTCATTGTAATGAAAGACTTACCCTTTATTACAAGGGCACCAAAAAGCTCAGTTCTCTTTGATATTTAAAATATAGAAAGCACACCTAGAAACTAAACAATTTTCTCAGCTCAAATAAATACAGTACCTATAAATGATATGCTAAATGGTAGTGAACCGGTATAAACTCAGAAAATCACTTATATTTGTTACTTGCAAATAAAACTAAAAACATTCTTCATTATAAATGATAAAAAGTATAAAAAGTAAGCTCTGGTAATTATGCTTACTGAGAAAAGGTATTAGATGGTTTCATGTATATCAAACTATTCAATTATTCAAATTATTCAATTATCTCACCAATAAGATTTCTCCATAGAAAGAAGCATAATAACACTAAAATTTACAAAAGACATAAAATGCAGGGAGTGTCTTGGAAATAGCTCATTTTAAATTACTCTGGGGAAACATTCAAAAAATTGTAGTTATTTTACCAGGAGCAATCATAGAGAAATTTTGTTAACTCCAACCTATTAAACTGTTATTAAGTTACTCGTAAAGGCCTTAAGAAATTTTTTAAAAACAAGACTGACTTTAAACTTTTGAAGTCATAAAAATATTACTAAGATTTCTAGATATTGTTTCTATACTTTCTTAAAAATATAAACTAAACTTACTGTTGGTTTTTTTCATTTAGAGTATTCATGCCCTGAAGATCAGAAAGAGGTGTTCTGGGATTTTTCCGGGTTATATCTAGCAAAAAAAAAAAAAAAAAAAGAAAAGAAAAGAAAGAAAGAAAAAAAGAAAAAAAAAAGGCAGAAAATTTCAAATCAATGTACAGAAAAACTAAACATGAGATTTTCCAGACAGATTAAAAATTCATATTCTTCAATACTTAGTAAATACGTCAGAAACACCTAGATAATAATACGAACCATGTCCCATAACTACCACTAACAAATCTGACCTATTTAGCAATGAACCCATTAGAAAATGTGATAATAAATTATTTTATTTCTTCTTTCATTTAAATATTAACGTTAGGAAATACAGAGTGACTGAGCTAAAAGGACTAGAAGTATACAAATTCATGTCTTATTTTGATATTCAAAAAGTTTCTAATATGACTCTTTTGTATTAGGTTTCAACAACAAATATATTGTTCATATGGACCATGGATTTTGACAATCAATTGATGAAACAGATAAAGACACTGAGATGACTGTTTCCTAAGGATTATCAATATTTTAAAAATATAATTTTCTTAAAAGCTCACAAAGTATCAATTTTATACCACAAATATACGTAAGTATATATATGTAAGATACATTGGGAAGGAAGAAGCATCTTTATTCACGAGGACATAATCTTGAACGTAGAAAACCTAAGAAATCTACAAAAATCTATTAGTACTAATAAGTTCAGAAATATTTAGGAAATAAATCAATATAAAAAGTCATATTTTCATAACAGCAATAAAATGATCTGAAACAAAATTAAGAAAACAATTCCACAAATAATAGCATCAAAATAATATAAATTTAACAAGATAGTACAAATGTACACATTGGAAAACTCAAAATATAGTTAAAAGAAATTAAAAGACTTACATAAACAGAATGCTATCCATGTTCCCGAATTAGAGAACATGATATTTTTAAGATGGAAATGCTCCCCCAAACTGATATACAGACCAATCTAATCTCTATTAAAATTCCAACTTCCTATTTTTATAAAAATGAACAAGCAGATCCTAGCATTAATACAGAAATGTAAGGGACCCTGAAGAGCCAAAAAATCTTGCAAATAACAACAAAGTTGTAGGATCCACACATCCTGATTTCAAAATTTACTACAAAGATATACTAATTGACACAGTATAGTACCGGCATATAAGACAGATATATACTTCAACAGAATAGAACCAAGAGTGCAGAAATAAACCTTTACATTTGTGATTGATTAACATGACCATCGGAGAAAAAAAAAAATCTTTCAACAAATTATGCTGTGAAAACTATGTATCTACAGGCAAAAAGAATAAAGTTGGTTAACAGACCTAAATGAAAGTACTCATACTTTTTAAAGAAAATAGGAATAAATCTTCCAGATATTGAATTAATGTATTGCACCCCCCACCAAAAAAAAGAAAAAATATATTAACAGGATGTCATCAAAATTAAGAGTTCTGTGATTCAAATTACACTACTACACTAAGAAGGTGAAAACAGCCAGGCATGGTGGTGCATGCCTGTAATTCCAGTGGCTTGGGAGGATGAGGCAGCCTCAGCAAAACTGAGGTTCTGAGAAAATCAGTTCAAAGCCAGCCTCAGCAAAATTGAGGTTCTGAGCAACTCAGTGAGACCCCGTCTCTAAATAAAATTTAAAAATCGGGCTGGGAAGGTGGCTCAGTGGCCAAGTGGCCCTGAATTCAATCCCCAGCACCCAAAAAAAGGTGAAAACATAACTCATGGAATAGTATAAATTATTTGTGTATGATATAGTATGATTTATATTCAGGATATTAAAAAAAACTCTCAAGTCAATAAAGACAAGAACCCAATTTAAAATTGAATAAATATTCTCCAAAAAACATACAAATGACTAATAAATACAGGAAAAAGGTTCAACATCATTAATCATCAGAGAAATGCCAATCAAAACTGCAATAAAATACCACTTCACACACATCAGGATAGTTAGAATCAAAAAAGAGAAATAAGGAATTTCAATGACATGGAGAAACCAGAACATTCATACACTGCTGAGTGTGAAATGACATACTTAACGCTGGAAAGCAGTTTAACAGTTCATCAAAAATTAAACACTGAACTACCACATGACCCAGCCATTGTACTCCTAAGTGTAGATATCCAAGGTAATTGAAGATACATGGCCATTCAAAATTTGGTATTAAGAATATAAGGTGCTCTGTGATCAACAAACCAGTACTTTGAACAGCTACTATTTTTATTTGAACAAAAAAATGCATTCAAATTCTAAGTAACTACAATTCTACCTGTGCTTCTGAACTAGAAAACATGATATTTTGGGGTTGGGAATATAGCTCAGTTGGTAGACTGCTTGCCTTGCATGAATAAACCCCTGGGTTCAATCCCCAGCATCACAAAAAAAAATCATATATATATTTTAAGATGGCAATGCCCCCCAAATTGATCTACTGATAAATCTAATCTATTATTAAAATTCTTGCTATTTCTGCAGAAATGAACAAGTTGATCCTAACATTACTTTGAATAGCATCTTACATGAATGCATTTTTTGTTCTATTTGTTCAGTTCCTACTTCATAAACATTAATTATCCCTATCAAAGATTATAATTTTCTATCCTTTATATTCATTCTTTTCTTATTATTGAAGCATATCATCTCGTGTCGTTCCTCAATATCAGTAATTCAATTTTCAGTTGCTTCCTCTATTTCCTGAACTCAGACAAGTGCTGTTTTATGACTCAAAAATCTATTTTCAATATCATTCTGGCATTTCTTTGTCTGCTGTCCTGGGAAATTAACCCACAGCACTCTACTATCAAACTACATCCCCAGACCTTTATATTTCAATTTTTAAATTTTGAGATCAACTCATGAAGTTGCCCAGGCTGGCCTGGAACTTTTGATCCTCCTACCTCAACCTCCCAAGCTACTTGCTGGAATTACACACTCAAGACATTTTATACTTTTCAATTTGTGCTACCACTTTCTTTATTGGATTCATATCCTTAAATTCTTCTTTACTATAAAGTGTGCTCACAAGGAATTTTCTCCTCCTTCAAAAACATCCGAATGTTTCTTTCTTGAATATTCTTTAACTTCCTTATATCCCTCTATGTAACAATTTTTATATCTATTATTAAATATTTTAAACACATAAGAAATGTAAGGAATAATATACTAAACACTTCAGACTACTAACTCAGATTTTAAAAAAAAGACCAGAGTATTCTACTTTCTAACTTCATTCCAAAAGCATCAAGTCCCAAGATCTCCGATTGCTGGAATTAGCCACACACACACAAAAAAAAATTTAAAATAGCTAACATAATTATATTCAAGGATTAAAAAGAGAAAATGGTCTTCAAAAGAACGAAATGCGTATTCTGAAACTGAAAAATAATTTTTATGGAAACAAAAACTTCATTCTACGCATCTAAGAATAGATCAGAATTGGCACAATGAAATTGAAATAAAACAAATCATCCAATGTAAAGAACACAAAGAATAAAATAAAAGAAAAATAACAGAGTCTGAACAATCATTGAGATACCAAATATTCTAACATGTTATTGAAGAAACAACAGGGAGAAACTGCAACTGAAAAAAAAATTTTAAACAAATTAGTCAGATTTTTCTGAATTTAATGAAAAACAATAAAGCATAGAACCAAGAGGCATAGCAAATCGCAAACTAGACAAATATAAGCCAACTAGGGATATCTAATCTAAACTGCTGAAAACTGAGGCAATGACTATGGGAGAATATCTGACTTAATCATCACAAATAAAGACCACAAAAATAATGAAACAATATCTTTAAAGTGCCAATCAATACTTGGACAGTTCCTTAATGATGTCACAAATGTGTACTTTGTGAAACAATATCTCCATTCACAAATATTAACTTAGAAATGAAAATACATTTCATATTCACAAAAATGTATTTTTATGAATATGAAAAATATGTATTTTTCATATTCACAAAAATATATATAGCAGGGTCCCTCACAACAGCTTTAACAGTGTACAACTCTTCAATTCACCAAGTAATAAATGATAAACACAATGTTACATATGCAAATGTACATAATACATATAGAATGAAACACAAGTACATATATTGTTACATGAAAAAACATGGATAAATATGTAAATCATTATGCTGGATAAACAAAATCATAACAAGAAAAAATCCATACTATATAATCCCATTTATATAAAATTTTTAGAAAAGGCAAAATTAATTTATAGTAATAAATCTTAACAGTGGCCATCTAAATGAGGTAGGAAAATGCACATACCAGAAAACAGGAACAAATATTCTTATGTAATTTTTCTCCAATATGTTTAATCTCTTTGTATTCATATTTTAGATCTGTAACAATTCTACAGCTAAATTTTGTTCAAGTTCTTAGTTTTAAACTCTGTTAAAGTCAGTCCATTTTAATTTACTAGTATTATTGATACACCTAACATATTTTGTGCCATCTTATTTTATGCTTTGTATTTACCCTAATTATTGCATGATTTTACCCAAATTTCTAACTGAATTATTTTCTTTATTCTGCTTTTTATTTTGAAAGTTGCATATACTCTAAGGTCATTCTTAAATTTTTAACATACTCATGAGTACTTTTTTATTTCTTTTGCTTTATGCTTTTATTTTAATAACACTTATTTCCAAACACTTTATGTAACTTATTATATTGAAAATATTTTTTTATTAGTTGCTCATGACAATACAATGATCTTGACATATAATACATTTGAATCACATGGGATATAATTTCTCATTTTTCCAAGTGTACAGGTTGCAGAATCACATTGGTTATAAGGCCACGTATATACATACAGCAATACTAGTGTCTATTCTGCTGCCCTTCCTATCCCCCCTTCTCATGAATTCTTAATTAAATTAATTATATCTTCTTTTCCTGAAGAGTATAGAAACATTCAAATGGTTAATTCTCATCATCCCCTTCTTGTTAGGGATGTTATTATTACCCCAAACTTACTTTC